CCTTTAAATGTGGCGCAGTAGGTAGGGCATCTGCTGCGTAAAAAATGCTGGATAAGTTGGCGGTTCATTCTGCTGGTGACCCCAGATTAATAAAGAGACAAAGCGGAAAAGAAAACGAATGGAGCCTTTAAATGTCACTTAAAGCTGTATAGAAGTGTCTTGAAAAATATCTAGTCAAATATTATTTACTGTCATCATGGCAAAGATAAAATAAATCAGTCATTAGAAATCAGTTATGAAAACTATTATGTTTAGAAATGTGTTGAAAAAAATCTCTCCGTTAAACTGAAATTTAGAAAAAAATAAACATTGGGATTAATAATTCAGGTGGGCTAATAATTCTGACTTCAACTGTAAGTAGTTTTTTTTTTGCATTAGAAAAGTATTTATGATTTGCAATATTTACTTTTCAAAAATAAAAAAAGTATTTTATATTTATTTCACAATGCTTGTGTACTTATGTAATTATGTCTTTCTGATAGTATGTAAGAGTTAGTAGAGATAGTTCACCCAAAAAATAAAAAGACAATAGTAAATGATCACTATTTACTAAACCTAAAGATGTCCCAAACCTTTGAGTTTTTTTAGTTTGTTAAACAAAAATTAAGATCTGTTGAAGAATGCTAGAAACCTGTACCCATTTACTTCCATAGTAGGAAAAACAGATTCTTTGGAAGTTTATTGTTACTGTTTTTAACCTTTTAAAAAAGCTTCTATTGTGTTATCTACTCGTTTTTACGTTATTTTCTATGGAATATATATTCGTGTGTTTTTATTTATGCTATTTATATATAAACGGAATAAGCTGGGGGTTTTTTATTTTACTTTTGGAAACGTGTTTAATGTGGATATAAATTCACACAGAAACTTGTTACATATAACATGTATCAAACTAATTATATTTTATGTGATATATGAGCAGATTTATTTGGTATTTTACATTGTAAAAGTATTGATTTAGTAGTTTCCTGCATTGTATATGCATACAAAACTAAAGCTACTTTCTGAGCATTTACTTTATGTGTGGCTGAATGTTATTGCCATCTATAAAAACACATACCTATATGTATTTATATTTTTATACACCTATACATTGAGTTAGTATGCAGTTTGTGTAGACGTTGATATCCAGTAGAGAGGATCTGACTCACTCAGAGGTCTGACTCACTTTTTTTTTCTATTTTTGTACCTCGGCATCCATCATTTTTTATGTTCACTTTGACTGAATTCCCTGAATTTTTCAGAAACAAAAGAAGCTGCTGGACTCCTTCCCTGATGACCTGGATGTGGACAAATTCCTGTCCTCCCTGCATTATGATGAGTGAAGAAGCTGAGGACGAGCTGCACTGCGAAGTTCACCACCATTTTAGGGACAAGACAAGCCATGTGTGCTATGAGAGCCACAAAAACAATTATTCTGAAGAGCTGCTTACTGTTTTACATCCAGAATGTGAGATATTGTACATAGACATTGTATTAGACTAGCAATTAAATTCATACTTTAAAGATATTCAAATACAGCCCCAGGCTGATTCAGCACTCTTGAAAAGTGGAAATAATTTAAAAATAAAACGGTATTTTAACTACATTTGTGAAGGAGTGTCCGTTCTGTGTCTCCATTGCAAAATCTATTGAAGGGTTAGTTCACCTAAAAACAAATGTTATTATTTACCCACCCTCACGTCTTTCTGATCCCGAGATTTTTGTTAATCTTCAGAACACAAATATAAAGATATTTAAAGAGTTCTCTGGTTCTCCATAGACAGCAATGGTCCATAATCATAGTTTAACTAAAATCATACAGAAAACTAAAAAAAAAGGAAAAATGACTTGATGTTTGAAAGATGAGATTTTTCTGTATTCTCTTCCGCTTCATGTTGGGCAATATGATGCTTGCATGTCATGCTGCTGATTCTAATGGCAATACTTTGAAAATGCATACACCTTGACCTGGTGCAGGAGAGAAGATAAAGGTAAACAAAGTATTTTTATTTAATTATTTATTTATATTTTTTGCTGCTGCACAATGGTGTATTAGGAGATTTGTATGATCACAGCTAAACCACTGAGGTGAACTGGAATGTTTTGAGGGTCTTTCAGAAATGGTGCCTTTTCTGGTACAGTGGTTCCTTTTCTCATGCCCATTGCTGTCTATGGAGGATGAGAGAAATCTTAAACCTTTAAGATTTCACCTAAAATATCTTGTGTTCTGAAGATAAACGAAGGGTCTCAGGTGACTGAAATGACATGCAGGTGAGTAATTAGTAACAGAATTGATTTTATTTGGTTGAACTAACCCTTCAATTTGTTACTTGCATTTGCTTTGCTTAAAGGGATCGTTCAGCCAAAAATCACGAGTAGCTTAACATCAGGCCATCTTATATCTAGGTGACTTTTAATATATTTTGTAATATACAATGTAATATATTTTTTAATATACATTTCAGTACATTCTCTTATGGTATACAGTTGAAGTCAGAATTATTAGCCATCCTTTGAATTTTTTTCTTTTTTAAATGTTTCCCAAATTATGTTTAACCAGAGCAAGGAAATTTTCCCAGTATGTCTGATAATATTTTTTATTCTGGAAAAATTTTATTTGTTTCATCTCGGCTAGAATAAAAGCAGTTTTAGATTAAAAAAAAAAAAACATTTTAAGGACAATATTATTAGCCCCTGTAAGCTATTCCCCCCCTCCCCGATAGTCTACAGAACAAACCATCATTATACAATAACTTGCCTAATTACCCTAACCTGCCTAGTTAACCTAACTAACTTAGTTAAGCCTTTAAATGTCACTTTTAGCTGTATAGAAGTGTCTTGAAAATATATATAGTCAAATAATTTTTACTGTCATGGCAAAGATAAAATAAATCAGTTATTAGAAAGGGTTAATAAAACTATTATGTTTAGAAATGTGTTGAAAAAATTTCTCTGTTAAACAAAGTAGGGAAAAATAAACGGCTAATAATTTAGGGGGGCTAATAATTCTGACTTCAACTGTATATATAAAAACATATAGGCAAAACAAAATTAATACCTAATTATTACCAAAATTATTGCTTTTTTAAATGGTCCTGAGTACTCAAGACTGGCTGAAGATCAAGCTTTCACGTTGTCACACGATAAAGTACATTAAAGGGACATTTATTAAAAGTAATAATCTTAAATTTAATGTTAAGTTTCTTATTTTTGTTGTACTTGTTTGTGTTTTTGTTTTGTTTTTTAATTCTCACAATGCTGATAATAATGCTCATTAACTTGTCTTTCACCAATCACCAAAGGCCACATTATTTGATTAAAAAACTTTTAAAGAAAAGAAGTCCCATCTATACATTTTTGGGTGATCTAAACCTTTAACTGGACATTTCCATCAGCTTCACCATGTGAACATTTTCAACATGATTTCCTTTGTACAGCCTCTAGGTGGTATTCTTTATTTACAGTATAGAGAGGGAAGGTAAACGCTGTTTTCTGTCCATCAGATGGTTATTATTTTTATGGCTTATTTTAATAAATCACTATTTGATTTAATATTTCATGTCTGTTTCTATTAGTCTGTCCAACAGCATGCCTATTGAAAGCAGCCATGCAGCAATTTTATATACTCAGCATGGCAGAACATTCTGACCTCATTTTTCTTTAACAGCTCTGATATGTCTCTATATTTTTAATAGATTATCATCTGGTAATGAAAAATAATGCTAATAAAATGTTTATTGCACACCGCATTATATCATAATGATTTATGAAGGATCATGTGATGCTTAAGACTGAAGTAATGATACTGCAAATATATCTTTGCCTTCACAGGAACTGATTACATTTTAAAATTTCAAATACACGTTATTTTAAATGATAATATTTTCCAAAATTGTGTTGCTTTTTTGTTAAGAAAAAATGCCCAAAAGCATGCACAATAATCTAAAATGGGTGTTCAGCTAAACAAGAATTACAAAAAGACGGCAACACCAAAGGCCTTTTTGTATAGCTTTTTTTGTTAAAAAAAAAGACCACCTTAATGAACAAATAAAGGATCTAATAAAATATCACTCAAAATATTTTTGGTTAACCAAGAAAAAGCATTTGAATGTAAAATGTATCGTGGCTTATAAGGTAATATGAGGTTACTGAGAAAAGAAAATCAGGGCAAGCAACGTCCTGTCATGTGCTGCAGGCTACCATAAATCATTTGCCCTGCTGTTTAGCATTCTCTCTGCTCATATGCAGTCTGAGCTCCTGTTATTTTGATAGCTAATCCAAACTATTTAGGTCAACACACCATATCAGTTCATATCAGAGGTACCATGTCTTAGGGCCTTACATCAGTTATTTTTACCCTTTCTAATTACTTTCCTTGTGTGTTTATGAGAGATCATACGTAAAAATGGATTAAAAATGAAATAGCAGTAATATTCAAGCCACCGATGAACTGAAGTTTCTGTAAATTATAGTACTTTTAAAAAGTGGAACTTATGGTTCTGATCATATTGGTTCATTAAACTAGTCAGTCAATTAGTGATGCAGAGCTACAATATTCAGCAAACTGTTAATCACTACTTACTTTGGTACAAAATCAAATCACTATTCTGAAAAGATCAAAATACTCACAATTTAGGAAAGATTCTAAAAACTTCAATTTCAATTTTTTTTTTTATCTGTCCTGAATGAACGATTAAGTGAATCGCTTATAAAGACTTACTGGACAGATCATATTTGAACAAATCTCTTGACTGATTTAATGATGAATACACTTTCAAAGGTTATTTGTCAACACCTATAGGCTGTCAAAAGTGTTTATATAACTAAACACTACTGAGACCGTGTGACTTTTTTGTATCAGAAATGAGATACTAAAATACAAAAGTTTCACTGTAAAAAAAACTTGCTGCGCTAATTTTTTTAGTTCTCAACTTCTCAGTTCTCAGCATCAATCATATTAACTGAAATTAAATTTAAGCTTTGCATAACTCAGAAAACCAGATTAATTTATTAAAATAAGTTAAAGTAAAATAAAAAAAACATTTGTTTTCCTGACTTTTGTATTATTTTCACAATGTATTCTTACATTAAACAGATCTGAATGCATGAATTTAAAAGTGCATTATAGCCAATAAAAGGTCAAAAACAAAAAGTGGATATGATTTGAGCGATATACAGATTTGAATCAATATAAATGAATCTTTCATGCTCTGTAATACTTTATATTTAAAATTACTTGCAATCATTTGCAGCACTTGCTTCTTTTCAAATATGCACTGAACAAATCTGTAATTTGATCAAATGCATTCATTCCACCAATGATTCTTTAGCTTATAAGGATTCAGATAACTCTTTAAACTCATTTGACATTTGACTTGAGGCAATCATACATCTTGCACTTGTGGTTGGTGTTTTCCTTCTTATTTTTCAACTGCAGCCCAGCCAAGCATTAGTGTTCATAGTGTGCAGCAATCTTTTCTGATGGCTGAAGATAAATGACTTTGATCTGCAGAAGAGGTGAACGCGTCCTGTTGAGACAAAAACATACACTTCCAGGGAAAAGTTTTAATGGAGAAAAGTCATGGACAATAACACCAGAATAAGTCAATTACCATTGAGTTCAAAAGCTGCATCCACTTTTCCAACAATGCCAGGCCAGCCCGTATTAATTTTCCTTGGAAATCCACGATCCATCACATTTCTTTTTTCATCATAACTACAACATAGAGATCCTCTTTAAATGTCTCAACGTCATTATTACACTGTCAGGTGCGTTCAAGTCACATTCAAGAGTTCACACTTAGCTGATGATTGTTTATAAAGCTTGTTTGGCATGCTGTCTCGGGAGAGAGCCCTGAGCTCATAAGATCCTCGAGCTCGGGGCTCCCTCCCGTTTGCAGTGCGAGAGGGGAGTTTGAGCTCAGGTAGATCTTGAGAACTCCCCTGCTGTTGTAGCTAATGAACAGATAGTGATTGCTCTTAAGAGATAACCAATTTACTAGGAGCATGTCTATGATGCCAATTTGGATTTATCAAGTAACTTAGGTTGCATGTTTTTTGTCTGCGGGAGGAAACCGGAGAACCCGGGGGAAACCCACGTGAGCACGGGGAGAACGTGTAAACTCTGCACAGAAATGTTGGCTGGCTTGGTAAGGACTAGAACCAGTGACGTTCTTGCTGTTAGGCAACAGTGCTAACCACTGGGCCACCGTGCCACCCATCTAGGAAAGGAGGAGAAGTAGGGGTGGAAAGGGGGATTCTTCAAAACGAAGATGGCTGTCATATGGAATGTAAGGTACTTATAGTTGCTTAGGAATCGTCTCATTGGTGAATCATGAATTGAATAATGCGGGGCCAGCTGCAAGTAATCATGTGCATGTGATCCTCTCGAAATTAGTTAATAAACTTCACTTCGTAATGCATAACATGGCGTGTACTTTACGGTTTTCAAGCTGATCGTATTAAACAAACTAATTGTTCTATTACAATCCCGTCAGTTTCAAGCTCTTTTGGTAAATAATAAGCTTGAAAAAACTGAAATTACATCCATCGATTCTGCCATGTTTCCCTCTATAGCGCACCCCCTCAACTTCCCAGTTTGTGAAATGTGGCGGCATTTATGTAACTCGTCAGTTATGATTTATCTGACTTGACTTAATTGCACCAGAATAAGATGAATGTATAAGTTATTTTTTAAATAGCAGGATAATATTTTGGCTCTTAAAGGGAAACTTCACTAAAAACGGATCAGACTATTATGAACAGTTTGAGGCAGTTTATTAAAAGGTAGGCCTAAGTATTGTAAACAATGTTCTGTTTCTTTCATATACTTATCATTTTGCTTTATATTATCTATGTGTATGGGTGACTAATATTCATTTTGTTTGCTTGTCAATGATTTTTTTTTTCTCACAATCTCACAGTGCTGGTAGCTGTTGACCAACGGTTAATGACGAACCAACACACATATCTCATAATTCTCAATAAGCTGAGGGTGAGTAAATTTACAGCAAATGTTCACTTTTGCAGCAAATTTCTCTTTAAGGGTTCAAGAAACCCTCAAGTATTAATTTTTTTCCAAAATTAAACAGATTTGTGTGTGTTGAGCATCAATTTACGTTAGCACATGCCAGCTGTAATTGTGGGGGGAAAACAAGTGCTTTCTGAAGGCAAGGCAGACTGTGACAGCTTTGATACCACGTCTGCACACGGCACACAGAATTTAGCCGTTCATGAAGGGTCAACAAACATGTGTTTGTTTCCATGATTCACAGTGTTTGTTGCATGTTTTTCCCAGCGATGCTCTCAGGGCCTAAGCTGTTGGTTTGCAGCAAGCATTTTCGTTGGCAGAGCTGTACGAGAATTGAAGAAAGAAGGACTTTGTCTTTTATCAGTTGAGTTCGTTACCATTCAGACACATCACGTATATCCGTGCTGCTGTGTTTACCTATGTTTAAAATCCTCCGGATTGCAGGCAGGGAAATGGTTAAAATAGATAGGGCAAGAGACCTGCTGCACTGCATTCCACTGTATCTGCATTCGGACTCGCCTCATTTATACTGTTTATATAAGCATGACTGTCTTTATAATGGTATAACAAATGGTGCTTATGTGTATATAAAATTATGAATAACAAGAAGCAGGGCCTTCAATTACTCACTGTTTATTTCTTTGCATTTTAACTCTGTAAACTCTAAAATCATGGGTCTCCTTAGGGTTTGGGTCTCTTATTGTGAGCTAAATGAGTTGTTCGCTCCCCTCTTTTCCCGCTCTCCTGGCCACACCCACTCCTCCCTTTGCTCTCAGAGCTCCACGGCCATCATGAAGCATTATTATTATTTTAATTCTGAGGCAAACTTGAACTGAAAGAGGGGGTTTCATGGTCCTATAACAACATTATTATTAGAGAATGACATTCATAAAAATGTAGACATTACCTGAAGTAGTAGTCTCCTGTGAAAAAGTAGGTCTTTCCCCCTTCACTCACATGAACAGCAGCATCTATTTGTCGTACAATTTCTGGAAATCCAAACTCATAGATGGAGCCATAATAATAGCTCTTTGACTCTAGTTTCTGAACCACCCAATATTTAGGGCCTAGAAGAGTTCAGAAATGAAAGTCATTGCCAATCATTATTATGAAAAAAAAAAAGAAGTTTTTTTTAAGGTTCCACTTATGCTCACGTAACCGCGTTTATTTGATCAGTAAAACAATAATGTTAAAATATTATAACACTTTTAAATAAATGTTTTCTGTGCACTCACTTTACTTCTGCTTATTCCCTGCTTTATCAGTTGTCGCCACAGTGAAATGAACGACCTAAATATTTCTATTCAAATAAATTATTAAAGTGAATCTATTCCTGTGATGTAAAAACAATTCTCGCTGAAATTTCAGTATGATTACACCAATCTTATTTAACATTGTTTAAAACAGGTTTGCTGCTAAACATTTTTTTTTGCGAAAACTGTAATAATGAGTTTTTTCAGTACTAAATGAAAATGCTAAACTATAAAAGTATTTTGAATTGTACATAAATAAAACAATGAATATTTCACTCAAGGCCATGGCCAAATTAAAACAACACATTTCTAGAGATGCTTAAATATCTCTTTTAACATCACAATAGCATTTGTTATGACATGCATTACACTATGCTCTATTACATTATGACCATTTCAGACTCACTTCAGACACACTTAAATTTGTCATAGCAGAGATGAAGATTAAAAGGATACTGTTAATTACAGTGTTCGCAGTAGATAGGAAGGCAGTATTTTTGGTTACCTGTGAAAACATATGCCACTCGTTGCGAAGGAATGTCATAAGCTGCATCTATAGGTGAGGGGATGCTGGGTAGAAAAACACTCTGAGGTCCTTCCTTGAGTCTGTTCCAGTATGACCTCCAGTTTGTTCTCATCCACATGTAACTATTGAGGTAAAGTTGGTTTTATATATAATATGATATTGTACATTTGTTTACTTCTGAACAGTGACAACTTGTGAGACAGTCTCTATATTGATTATTAGGCCACTTTGAATGTTTATTAATGTAAATATGACTTAAAAACAACCTTAGCTCTATTTAATTGCCTGTGAACAATGTTGTGCTTTGATTGTCATTGGCTGCTAATGTGATTTCACTATTTTGACTTTTCTGAGATTTTGAGGAGAAGGTCTTCCCAAAACTTCCTTGAAAACATCCCTTGAACCATTTTAAGAAACTACACTTATAGTTCCGATTTTAATTTAATTCAGTTGTAGTAGTAATAGTAAAATAACAGTAAGAATAAGCATAACAGGAATAAAAAAGTGAAAGCTAAACTTTCACTTTATTTATGAACTACATTTATGAAAAAAAAACTTCAATTTGTTAGTAGAGGAGTGGTTAAATGCTTCACCTGTTTTTAAAGAAAATGATTTCTTTTTCGAGGACTGTCACGGCATCAAAAGAAATGACATCACATTTATTAGGGATTACAAGCTCCTGCTGTCTAGTTTTCTTTCCTTTCAATAAAAGAAATAAAAACTCTTATTTAGTTTGAAGAAAAATTAAGAAGCATATTTGTTTGGTACTGGACTCACCATACAAAGCCTGGATGCCAAGTGTGTCGTCTCTGGGCAGTTTATATGTTGCAGCGTTGATGAACTTGTATTTTGGATACATGAGAGCTGTCGGATCTTTGGAGTGAGAAAGACCCAGAGAGTGACCCAACTCATGAGCTGCCACCGTAAACAGATTATATCCTGCACACAGCATCACAATCAATTATATTATTATTATAATTATAATATTCAATTCTGTTTTTATTTACTGTTTCTAATATTAATGTATTAATTTTTTTTATTAAATTATTACTAATAATAGCAATAACAACACTTAAAGACCAAATAATTATTTTACATAGGTTTTTTTGTTTTACAGCTTAAATATCTACACTCGACGGTCACTTTAATAGGTACACCTTACTAATACTAGGTTGGACCCCCTTTAGCCTTCAAAACTGCCTTAATCCTTCGTGGCATAAATTCAATAAGGTACTGGAAATATTCCTCTGAGATTTTGGTCCATATTGACATGATGGCATCATGCAGTTGCTGCAGATTTGTCAGCTGCAGATCCATAATGCGAATCTCTTGTTCCACCACATATCAAAGTTGCTCTATTGGATTGATGTCTGGTGACTGTGGAGGCCATTTGAGTACAGTGAACTAATTGTCATGTTTAAGAAACCAGTCTGAGATGATTTGTGCTTTATGACATGGCACGTTTTCCTGTTACCATCAGAAGATGGGTACACTGTGGTCATAAAGGGATGGACGTAGGCTGTGGACTTTGACACGATAATCAATTGGTACTAATGGGCCCAAAGTGTGTCAAGAAAATATTCCCCACACATTACACCCCCTGGAGCCTGAACCAAGAGTGAACTGGCCATAGGGAGACATTTCCCGGTGGTCAATCTGGCCTGCCATTCAGAATCTGATCGCTTGCTCTTCAACCCCCCTCTCCAAGATGCCACCCCCCCTCCCTTCCAAAGTCTGGCACGAACAACCATGCCATGTTTAAAGTCACTTAAATTACCTTTCTTCCCCATTCTGATGCTTGGTTTGAACTGCATTAGATCGTCTAGACCAGGGGTCACCAAACTTGTTCTGGAGGGCCGGTGTCCTGCAGATTTTAGTTTCAACCCTAATCAAACACACCTGAACAAGCCAATCAAGGTTTTACTAGTTGTACTCGAAACATACAGGCAGGCTTGTTGAGGCAAGTTGGAGCTAAACCCTGCACGGACACCGGCCCTCCTGGACCGAGATTGGTGACCCCTGGTCTAGACCATGTCTACATGGCTAAATGCTTTGACTTGCTGCCATGTGATTTGCTGATTAAAAATTGCGTTAATGAGCAGTTGGACAGGTGTACCTAATAAAGTGGCCGATGAGTATATATTCAACCAAAATATGTTTACTTGAGATGCAAATGACATCAAAATTACAAAAAATAACAAAGTTTTAAAAAAAAGAACCATAATTGAGTGACTTTACACTTAAAAGCTAAAAACAATCTGTGAGTGAGGTGTAAAAAAATGCAATTTACAGCAAAATCAAGATTTCAGGACTTATTAGAGATAATCACTTAATTTTAATACATTTTGTTGAAAACATGGCCTAATATTTTTTTTAAGTGACTTTATAAATGTTTCGATTTTTGTAAAAAAAAAAAAAAAAAAGACAAGACTACAATCCTTAGAAATGTACTATTATTTAAATCAGTCTGTATTTAGACATTTATTACAACAGTTATATTATTATCATTAGTAGTTAAATTTAGTTTGTAAAAATAAAATAAGTCAATCAATCAATTAATCATTTAATCTGCTCACTTACAAATAACCTTCAAAGTCATGCGAACCAGAAGTTGCTGAGACTATTATTTCAGTATGTTGATGTACTTCCAACTGAGATGGAACATTGAGTAGGGGGCGGTGCCTTCTTTTACGCATCATTCCCTCATAGCAAACTAACATAAAAGGAGCTTGGTTAAGAACATTGTCTGAAGCTGCCAAACTGACATCAACTAAGAAGAACCACCACTTCAAATGCAGAATGTTCAAATGATCAGACTTTGATTGACTGACCTTGATTACCAAAACAAACTTTTTTTCCCAGTGGAATAATTTGTACAGGTTAATTAATCACGATAAGAATAACCAACCTACGCTGGTAAAGTAAACATTGTAAATTTTGATTTCAACCTGACTTAATCACGTTGCATTATCTGAATGATTCAATGTTTACTGTGCTGTACCTGGTCTGCCGCGTCCCACAGTCCATATTTCATCATCATCAAAGTGAACATCTCCACCAAGTCCCTCTCCAGGCTCAAAGGCGTGTGCCAGCACCCCTCCAGGCCCGTCGAAAGGGAAGAAGTCTCCATGAGCTACAAAAGAGGGAGATTTCAGATGAGTTTTCAAAGAGAAGAAAATGCACCAGATCAGATTGGAGTCTACCTTTGGAGTTGAAGGAGAAGGTGATATCTGCTCTGCCCTCCTTTATTTGGACAAACTTCAGAGGAGCAGCGTCGCTCCATATTTTCAGAGCCAAATGCAAGGAGTTTTCCACCTCTTCCGGACGGAGATCTGGAGTGAATCTTGCAATCCTGCAGGATTAAGATCAGCCACATTTTTACAAAAGACATGTCGCAACCTGAGAGACTACATGAGAGGAATAACAAACCAGGCTTTAATAAAACAGGGACCTAATGAACTCTGGGACAAACCTGAATTTTAAATTAAAGAAAAAGAAATTTTTTCAAAGAAATAGCCACCTTTTTTATTTGCCCTATAACACTTTGTGTGATTTATAGGAGTAGCTTCTGTTGAACTGTAAACAATTAATGAAGTGTTTTAAAAACTGTAAAATGAGGTGTCATAATTTTACACAGATCATCCATCTAATATACAGTTCTCATCATAAATGAGTACACCCCTTTCAATAATAATAATAATAATAATTATAATAATATCTATTTTTCAGTGAATATAAGCAATAATGTTTAGTGTATTTAAAAGCACTTTTATTTAAACAGTTTTATCCATTAAAATAAGAGTTTTGGTCATCGTGATATTGCAAAAAATAAATTACAAACTACAAAATTTATTAAATTAAGGTATTAAAATTTGTTTAATGTTTATTATAATTTTATTTAATATTTTTTCCACAACATATTAATTGGGTGTACTATTTTCAACACAGGCTCATTCTAAAAACATACCCCCGTATACATTTCTGGAGAGCGTGAATTATGCAGCCAGAGCTATGTATGGCTGCATTTTGTCTTTAAACTGAACACAACAGGGTGGTATGGTGCCACTGACGGTTTGTTTCTTTTTGCACTACCAGCTGACCGTGGGCGACTTTTCCTCTATTACCAGTTTCCTGCGGATTTCGGCGTATTTGAGATGCAGAGAGTTGACTGCGACGATGTGGTTCAAGTTCGGCAAAGAACGATTACAGAAAACCGGTAAAAAAAAGAACAAAGGGCAAAAAATAAATAAACAAGTAAATAGCAGTGTGAGAATGTGGTAAGATCTGAAAATGTGGTAAAAATCAGGCAGCAACGAGGGTGTTTTTTATTTATTGCTTTTAAAAACTGTCAGTTGGGTTTAGAGAATGCTGTGATTAGGTCAATCGGTGCTTTTGAACACACTATCAGTGAGGTTTAGAAAAGGGGGTGGGTGGGTGTTTGTATCGATTTATCGGTCAGTTAGTTAGTCAGTGGCCTCTGGTGGATTTACGCGAAAACAGCAGGTGTGAATGGCACTCGCGAGAGAAATTTTAAAAAGCATACACATCGACCTCTGGTTGATTCACGAAAACTAAAACTGCAAAAAAATAAATAAATAAATATTTATTAAAAAATATTAAACGTACCTTCTGGGATGTATTTCATGATCTCCAGAAATGTACATAGGGGTACGTATCAATAATGAGCCTGGGTTGACCAATTTTGGACTGTGGTCTTAAGTTTTTTCTTAGACTAGTTCCAGTTTTGGCTTTAGCAGTGATTAATATACTAATGTATTATTGTAAAGTATCCTATATTAAATATAAAATACATATCAATGTAAATATTTATCTATATCTAAGAGTGATCTGTGAGGTGTGTACTCATTTCTGCTGAGCACTGTATATAAAAAATGTCAAATTTAGAATAAATAACTTTTATTAGATCATCAATAACCTCATACACAACAAGTATTTCTGCAGCAATATTACAGAGATATAGTAAATATTACTGTGGTGTATAGACTACAAAGAAAAGAAGACCTCGGCCACAGATGCTCGTGACACTAAGGTCATTTTAAAATACTAAGTGTAACGTGTGTTTATGACAGATAAATATATAGCATAAATTATTTTTATGACAGATGAAAATATAGCCAAATGTGCCTCTTCCTTAGTTTACACAAAGGCTTATGGATCATTTGTAGTGCAGCTTTTCTATTTGAAGTGATTTTAGTTTTTTGAATTGAAGTTTTCCAAATTGTAAGTGCGGGCCATAATTTGAGACTTAGTAGACATTTGCAGTAAAAGATGGATATAGATCATAAAACACTGGAAATTTGATCCTGTATTTTATTTGACCTGTAAGTAATGATGTTGCTCTTCCATTTGGGCCGCCCGGGATAAAAGCTGAAGTTTTCCACATCAGGGACTCCACATCTTGCCTCTTTCATCCCATTCAAGGTTTTATGATCCAGAAAAGCAGTTTCCTTCAGGTCAAAGAAATGCTGCATTGCTCTGATCTTGTCCTTCATGCGTTCTGCACGTCTCTTATTGTAAACACGCATTTTCAGGTGGTAGAAATGACGCAGGTACTCCTGTCAATAGGTAGATCAGCTTAGTCTATGGAGAAACTGATTATTTTCTTAATATTTGAACAGTAAGCCTTTATTACTTAGCATGGGATTTATGGTTTATTCATTTGACTCTTAATTAATAACAATTTTATATTTATTAATTCTGTTATTTTATTACAGCTAGCATTACTGTTATTTACAATATATTTTAAAATACAAAGTTGAATATTTATTAATATTGTTATTAAATTATATAATAATAAATATTTAATGATAAAGTATAGTAATATTAGTATGGAAATAAAATATAAGTATTACTTGTGTTAATTTGTACGAATATTTTTACTTTTTTATCAACACCAAAATAATAACAATATTAATACACATTTTTTAATATATTTTATCAAAACCAAAATAGTAAAAAAAAAATTTAACTTGCATTGATTTTATGATTTTACTTTTACTGTACAAGTCTTATTATCACTGATATGAGCTTTTTAAATTGTTCAAAGTATTATTTTTTTAACAAAGTATTACCACTACTATATAATAAGAAAAAAATATTACTACTAAATTAAATATGTTGTAAATAGCCTAGACAATCACAAACCTCAGCATGCTGAAAATCCTCTTGGGTGCAGCTCTGAAGAGCCACACGTGACGTCCTTACACTGTCCATCTTCAACATCCAAAACAGCAAAATCCATGGCCACAACCAGCTCATTTTGACCAACACACATCATGTTCTCTGCATCTTATACAACTTAAGAATACCTCAAGATAGTAGAGATCACGTGGGTCCTCAAACAAGAATGTACCGTCAGGTATTTAGTGGCTTTTGTCACCCACAAAATGAAGTCACGTCTGGCTTTTCATCAGAACTCTTATTGAGGTTTATGAAGGAGTGAAGGTTATGATTTAGTTTGTAACCGATTTTAAATTTTGTTCATGCTGTCTTCTGTTCAGTTTGCTTAAAACGGCTGTTTTAAGAAAAATGTTATGAATGTATACTAATGAATACATTTTCAGATGAAACACTATGGTTTACCTCAGTCATGCAAGTGCAGAGCTGAAAACCAAAGGAGTTTTTTTTTCTTAACAAGTAATGATAGTCATAATTTTTAATGTCATTTTGTCAGATGAAAAAAAACAAACAATAAAATACGTCACATTTTAGTTTAGATACATTTGCCTATTTAAATTTTTACAGATGCATTTCTTACATTAAATACAATAACAACATGCTGCTATACAGTAAATACAACATAATTACAGTTGAAATGTGTCATTTCTCAGGCCTCTTTGGCATTAAATTTTTGGCGTTTAAATTTAAACTATTAAGCCCTGTTTACACTGCGAAGGGACCGCAATTTAAATCATTCCTAGTTTAAATGTTTGAATGTTCTAAATGAATAGGGCAAAGAGGGGGACAACTGGGAATAAAAAACAGCCAGGGACTATGTTTCTAACTACAGCTCTAGGTGTAGTTGCAAGTGTACAAGTTTGCAATGCAGCTTACGAATGTTCGTTAGAGTGATGGATTTTGGAAAAGCCAAATCAACGAACTATGTTTGCAAAGACGCAACTTGTGACTTTAGTTGGCTAACCATGGTTTTCGGAAACGCACCCCTGGTCCATGATTGAAGGTGGGCGACACATTTGCACAGACGTAACAAATACATTCAAATTAAAATCTTTTAGACCCTCACTGTATAAAATATGACGAAAACTATTGTATATATAATTTATAGGTATCATAGGTACTTCTAGGTATTTGTTGGCCCTCAGATTTCCTAGGGGTCTAAGCAGCGGCTTACCTTACTTATTGGTTAAATCCACCCTTGCCAATGACGGTTGGGTTTAGGGGCGGGGTTGGGTGTCATGCTTCCTTTTTAAAATTGTACATTTTCATACGACTGAACTTGTCCAAATTTGTACGATTTAGCCACTAAACAGACAAAATGTGAAATACTAACATTTTCTTGTGAAATCAGGCTGGATCAATGCAGTTTTGTGGAGCAGAAATTAACTGTTCTCATATAATTTTCTGTTGTCTTCTTTCATGTTCATATGTAAATTGCATGAAAAAACGTTTAATGATAGATTGAAAGTTTATACCCACCTATAGACATTTGAATGAAAGATTTCAGGCAAGTGGACAAAAGAGACTGATTTAAACACCAGATACTAACAGTAATGTGTCCTCATCTACTTGAGATTTAGTTTACCAAAACACAATATAATACCAGGTTTAAACAAAACCATAATCTAATGAATGACTATTAACATCCAAGCCAGGAAGTTGTTTTATCAGTTCCAATGATTTCCTTTTGTTTTATGTCATATTTGTACACATCTGAGCCAATAAAAAAATGAAGATAGCCTGGAAGAAAAATGAAAGTGATAGATGAAAGTAATGAAAATAACTGCAAATACATGTTAGATGAGTTATAGATCTATCTAGTACTCACCGTCTTTATAAATTGCTGCACTTATGGGTCCACTTATTTCTGGGAAATCATCAGAAATGTTACGTGGGATTGAGTCAGTCATATTCTTATTGTGTTCATTATACCTGTGAGAAAAGCATTTTATAATGTGGTGAAGTCTTTAAATGGGATAGCTCACACAATAACCAAATAAAGATTCACTAATGTACTCACTTTAGGCGATCCAAGATGTAGGTGACTTTTTTCTTCAGTAGAACGAAAGATATTTAGCTGCAACTGTGGTCCTTGGTGATTCATGAAATGCAAGGACTGTCAGCACTTTTAGGGGCAAAAAAAATATACAGGCAAAACAAAATTAATACCCGTAGTTCCTATGATAAAAATAATAAAGACTATGAATCAAAACAATCAGTCTGTGCAAGAAACAGAACACTGTTTACAACTGTTTACTGTAATCAGCACTTCATCAGGAGCCACAAATATGAATTCAGTTTTGCCTGTACATATATTTTTTGACTTTCAAAGTAGCCATTGTCTTTTTATGCATTAAAAGGATAACCAAGAAGCACAGTTCATGCTAAAAAATCTTACTTGATGTCCTGCTTAAGAAAAATAGTGTCTTATCTTGGATGGCCTTGGGTAAATTAACAGCAAATTAAAATTTTGGGGTGGATTAAACCTTTAAAGCAGATATTAGTGATATGTAGCTGTTGTATCTCTATAGTTCACCTCCAGTACTGGTGTTGTGTGAAGAACAGGGTGTGTACAGTTTTGTGAATGTGGACGGCAGCATCGACCTGCTGAACCCACGATGGAAAGCCTAGACTGCTGATGTTTTTTGCTCTGCCTTTTACTTGTGATCCTTTCACAGTCCAGAAAGTGGTCCCTGTGTTGAAGAAAGCAAAGATCGTTTGAATTGTTTAACATTTTGAAGGAAACAGAGAGCTGTTTAATGCCAAATAATGAATGTACCGTTAAACAAATATGCAGTTGACCGCTGTGGGACCCAATAAGCAGCATCAATATGGCAATCAATTTTTGGCATGAAGTTGCTGATGGGGCCTTCTTTTATATCCTTTTGATCATTGTGTTTGATCCACATGTAGCTGAAATGGTACAAATAATATACAATGAATATACAGCTGGATTCGGTTAAAATCTCCTCAAAGAAGGAGCAGCTCCAACAAGCAGAAGCTGTGGACTCATAGCCACAACCTCTAAGTGTTTATATTTGTTAAAATTGATCATGACATGTACAGTGTCTAGCGTTAACAGTATGCTGAAGCAAAGATGTAAACAACAGGAAATGCTGTTTGGCACCGCAAACGATTTAGCTACAAATACATATTTATCAGTCAAATCGATGTAAACACACACACACACACACACACACACACACACACACACACACACACACACACACACACACACACACACACACACACACACACACACACACACACACACACACACACACACACACACACACACACACACACACACACACACTTCACCAGTGCGTGCATGTCTCTCTATGCATGTGCGACTGTGCAGTGTTACTCTATAGGCTGAACTCGCAAAAGATATGTGAATGATTCATATTGCTTACGCATGCATATGAATATATGTGAAAGATGTCAAGGAATGCGTTGAGTTAAAAAATTACGGGAGAGCTTGCCTAACTCGCATCCCACATCTAGTGCTTTATTCTTCTGTCAACAGTGTCACTGTATATTATTAGAAAATTAGAAAATAACTTAATCCGAGCATCAGAGAAAAATAAAAATAAACATCGGTCCAGCGCACATGTGCTTATCGTGTGTACAGACAATTCACACACACACACACATACATAATTGTGATCTCTCTTAAAGGAGCCACACCCTATTTTCACTCGTTACAGACACTTGTCAAATTTTATTTTAGAGAGCAGGCATGGGTTGACTGACTGTTTACACAGCACAAAAGCGCATGCTTGTACGGGCGTGACGTGGAGTCAATCCGCAAATCACAGCACATTACGATAGATGACCAATCTGAGCCTCTTGAAGGCGGGCCTTTCAGTGGAACTTGGAAATAAGTTTCTTATGTTAGCAGAGTAGTTGTATATAATCAAAGTATGATTTATATAAAAAATAATGTGATTTCCTTCAAGTGAAACATGAGCACACTTTGCTTTGCATATTATAAACAGAACCAAGCCTTAAAATTACATTCTGGACCACGCCTTTAATAAATACACTTGCATATAAAGTAAATCGCGACTACTTCCGGCAGGATAACAGGCCAATATGGACCAAAATCTCTGAGGAATATTTCCAGTAACTTGTAGAATTTATGCCATGAAGAATTAAGAAAGTCTCAATACGAAGAAAAATGGGGGTCCAACTTGGTACTAGTAAGGTTTACTTGATAAAGGAATCTTGTACCTAATAAAGAAAGAAAGAAATATATATTTATCTATATTATATATTTATATATTACAGTATTATATGCAGGCTGGCCCACGTGGGACCCACCTGGGCTGGCCAGTATTATTATTTATGATAGTACTTTACATTTAAGTACAGCAGTTTTGATTTAACTTTATAAGAAGAGTGCCATTTTTAATTAGCTTTTAAAATCACATTTTAATTTAAACGTATTTAAAATTTATGTTTTTTTTACTGTAAGTGTGTTGTTGTTCAAACTATTTATTATGTTTGAAGTGGCTGACAATAATAAATATTTATAACGTTTGTGAACTGTGTAGCGCTGCAGCCACTTAATTAGGCCTACTATGTATTTCAATAGCAGTCATTATGGTGGTACTTGGAGAGACAATTTTTTCTGAGGTGGTACTTGGTGAAAAAAGTTTGAGAACCACAGCAATAAAGTACTAAGATTTTTGACATTACAGAAAAACCTCTCCTGATCTTTTTTATTGAACACGCATAGAATTGGCTAATCATTCCAACAAAAGTTATCACAGTTTTGAGATATAAAGACCCTTCCATTGACAGAAAGAGAGACGGATGTGAGAAATAGTTGAAACTGAGAGGTAAAATATCAAATTACAAGAAATAAAGTCATAATCATAAAACACCCGTCATGATTGTAAGAAATACTCTAAATTGTTAGTTGTAATTATAAGATTCTAAAAATGTAATTACAACATCAACTTTCAGTTGCAGCCTGTGTGTAATGTAACTCACTTGTCCCTGAAGAAGAAAATGGCATCTCCTACAGTAGTTACAGCATCAAACTTCAGATGGGGATTACATGTGTCTTTGAACGACACAGGGAAATATGAACCACTGTACCAGGGGGTGCTGGGATTGCTCCAGCTGAATCTTGAAGAAGGATAGGGCCTTTTGTCTCTTGGCCCTGTTGGATGGAAAAAAACACAGACATGTGATCTCTCACATAAATACGGAAAATAAACGGGGCCTCTATTCCCACAATGTTACGGTTTCATAGTGTAAAACATGGTTTATGCTTTACCGTAGAGCGTGTTGATGTTTATGATGTCTTCACTGGAGAGCAGATTGTGTGTTTTTCTACGTTTGTATGTGGGATACATAACCGATTCCGGCAATTGCGAGTGTTTCAAACCAAGTGCATGACCAAACTCATGGGCTGCGACAACATACAGGTTAAATCCTGAAGAAAAAAAGAGAAAACAGATATTCAGATTTATATGTCAAGTAAAAGAAAATGTAACATTCAACTGTAAAATATGTCAATTAAATAAAATATGCATCACCATTGTAGCCAGCCGTCCATACTTCAGCTTCATCAAAATGAACGTCTCCACCAATACCTTCCCCTGGGCCGAAAGCATGGGCCAGTGTGCCGTCAGGACCATCAAACGGGAAAAAGTCTCCATGTTCTAGACGTTGATGACAGAAAAAAATTCATTCATTTTTGTGTTGGCTTAGTCCCTTTATTAATCCGGGGTCGCCACAGTGGAATGAACCACCAACTTATCAAGCACATTTTTACGCAGCGGATGCCCTTCCAACCGCAACCCATTTCTGGGAAACATTTACACACTCATTCACACACACACTCATACACTACGGACAATTTAGCCTACCCAAATTCACCTGTACCGCATGTCTTTGGACTGTGGGGGAAACCGGAGCACCCGGAGGAAACCCACGCGAACGCAGGGAGAACATGCAAACTCCACACAGTGGAGCCAACTGAGCCGAGCCGAGCCGAGGTTTGAAGCAGCGAGCCTGTGAGGCGCCAGCATTACCTACTGCGCCACTGCGTCGCCGACAGAAAAAAATGTTTCTCCTATTTTTGAATTTGTCTTGTAATTGTGACGTTTTGTTTATCCAGTACTTGATCTGGTAATTTTGAGTTTACTTCTCAATTGTAACTTTATCTTATATTTTGACAATTGTTTTTCAAATGTGATCAAATTTATGACTAACTTTTTTACGTTTTGTCAGTTTAGTGGCTAATTCGTCCAACATATCCAGCATGTGTTTTACGCAGCGGATGCCCTTCCAGCCACAACCCAGCACTGGGAAACACCCAACACTCTTGCATTCATACCCACACTTACACTACGGCCAATTTAGCCTATTCAGTTCACCTATAATGCATGTGTTTGGACTGTGGGGGAAACCGGAGCACCCGGAGGAAACCCACGCGAACACATGGAGAACATAATTTGAGTTTAGTTGTATGAAAATATTTAGAAAAAAGGCGTGGCACCAAACCACACCCCTAAAATAAACAATCGGCATTGGGCATGAGCAAATTGAACTAAATTGTACAAATGAGATCATTTATACGAATTATCCCCTAAATCAAAATTGTTGTAAGATATTGTTGATATTTTTCAGTAATTTATCTTATACAGTAAAACTTATTTCTCAAATGTATGGACAATTATGGAATAATCTTTTTTTATTTTAATGAAAATCTATTTTTTATTATTTATAATATTGTGAAAAAATCAATAATCTATTCTCACATCACAATTGCAGGTTTTTATCTTGCAGTTGCAAGCTTACGGGCTCGCTCAAAATAGCGAGGTATAAAATCCCTTCTGCAAGTTGATAGCTTGCGATTCTTGTTCATATCTTGTTTTTTTCTTACATTTTTACAATTTCCAATTTTAAACTTGCAATTCTAAAGGGGGTAGAAAGACAGAATTGCAATATATACAACATAGTTTTCCGCTAGGATTGCTTCAATCGTTCGGCTGGAGATCTGTATCACATATAATGTCTTGATTGGTGCTCACGGATCTGGCCGATCTTATGAACAAATCGCAAGTGTTTGTGATAGTTAGAGATGAGCAATATATTTGAATGGCCTTGCATGTATTTAGGCCTTTTTACATATAGGAACTGAAGGAACTTTTATGTTTCTGACAATGTTGCAAGTTCACTAAAAACTGTAAATATTACATAAATTATATATATATATGTAATACATACATACACACACACACACACACACACACACACACACACACACACACACACATATATATATATATATATATATATATATATATATATATATATATATATATACACTGTAAAAAATTTCCAGGTTTTCACAACAAGTTACTGTAATTTTTCACAGTAAATTACATTAGTATCCCTTCACAGTATTTAACTGAAAAATTCACAGTAATATGTTGTATTCATAATTTTATTGTGAAATTACTGCAGGTAGCATGATTACAGCAAATTACTGTGAAAAGGGCTATATCTTTTGCACGTTAGTTATAGAAATTCAAACCTTTTTTAAACTCAACGTAGAAATTAATACAAATGAACTTTTAACAGATAATAACAGAATGTTATAGCCCCAAAAACGATTTGGTTACCAACATCTTTTTGATTGTACTGCACCTTTATTTAATTTTATACAGTTAACATAGAATAGGAAATAATATTTAATGAACAACTGTGCTTAGCCAAAACATAATAAACTGGAATAAAAAGTAATTAATTAATGAAACCAAAGACTGTTAAACAGCCAACAATTATTTCAATGTCAGGGTAAATGTCTGCCTTAGACGGTTTCATGAGTATTGGGCACCTGACATCGCCTGGAGGTCACTAATCTCAGAATTAAATATATATATATAAATTATTATTTTTTTATCTATATAAATAAACCACAGATTAGAGTTTTAAACAACTACATTCTAGCATGAAAAACAGTTAAAACTTCATTTTCGGACGCATATAGAGCCATCGAAGACGGGGCAATTGTCCCAATGTCTAGCCTGAAGACAGGCGCCTCTCGGCGGATACATGAGTAAAGAGCGCCGTTACCGCCTGGAGGTCATAGATCTCCGCTACCGGCAAAACACACTTAAAATTACACACAATCTTTACTAACAGTCACAGATTTGAGTTTTGAAGAACTACATTATCGCATGAAAAAGTGTTAAAACTTTATTTCATTACATATTACAAGCAATATTTATAATATTATGTGCCTTCTCATCCACCATTACAGCTTGATGCAGCTTGGTGCGAAATGAATCCTGGGAGGAAAAAATAATAATTCTCAATACACTCCAAACGAACTTTATTCTTATTGTTAAAGTCAGAGATATGTAATATTTTGAATGGCTAAGAAAATAATTAACTTTATATTTCAATCAATATATTACTCTTGCACTGCTTCGGTTCAGGACTCGTGTGACATTGAATCAGATTCAGATATTTTATCAGACGTGTTCATGAGCTCGAAGTGATCCACAAGCAATTCGTGTACAAGCAGTACACGAACCAAGCAATATGATGAAATATTAATGAATTATATGTTTGCGTCTTACAATATTATACAAAACGGAATCGTTTTCAGGCGAATTTGACTCTTTACTGTTCACTTAAAGGAGCCGAATTCGACTCTTTACTGTTCACTTAAAGGAGCCGATTCATTGAACAGAACTGACTCGACGGCAAACAAGCGCCATCACCACAGACAACGCCGTCGTCTTTTCACCCAACGGATTCATCCTCGGTAAGTGTTAAAATATGACTTTTGTCCGTTAAATGATTGTTGTATGTGTATTTCTGTATAGTGCATGTCATTTAACAGGAATTTACCGAGTACTTTAGTACTCGCACGGACAGGGTTTAAGCGCGCCTTTTTTAAAGCAAGAAATTAACGACGCCAGATGGTGATTGTAGTGTTTTCTGAGGTATTAGCATAACGTTAACGTTAGTCCCTGAAAAAAGAAAGGGAATTTTCTTTAATTAACTTCTTGTTAACTGCATTTTCTGTTTCAGTACAAGACTGAAGTAAAGGTGAAATGACTAAAGTTAAGGTAAGCTCTGACTTAAGTTAACGTTACGGTTAGTGACCATCATGTATGTTAATTTTGTTCACTGTAACGTTAACGTTAAGTTAGTTAAATAAACTAAACTCATTATGAAACAAGTCTTAACTGTTTTATTAAATGAGGCTTATAATACAATTCAGTTGTATTCTTTTAAACTAACACTAACACAGTACATATTGTATATTTCTCACTGGTGTTAATGCAGTGCTAACATTTACTAATGAGAACTAATTGTATATTGTCACTAACTGTAGATTTTATTTTTTGGTGTTCAGGTGTACCTGATAATAGCTAAAGTGTGAGGTGAGTAAATTCTGAGCACACAAATATAACCTAAATTCATTATCACAATCTAAACCTATATATATATATATATATATATATATATATATATATATATATATATATATATATATATAGAGAGAGAGAGAGAGAGAGAGAGAGAGAGAGAGAGAGAGAGAGAGTGTGCGTGTGTTAGGTTGAGTCTTATTCTACTCTTATTATATTCAAATTTTTTTACAGCCACTGATGTTGAAACACTGATGCTACCAATCAACCCTCGCTTGATTATTAAAGGTAATGTTGAACCTTCCTCATTTTTATTAGATTTTTTAAATGTCAGGTTTTTCACAGATTTGTTGTGAGCAGTTTCTTGTACAAACTCTTTTTCTTCTTCCAGAAGTTCCACCAGTACCTCCAGTAGTAGTAAATATTAGACAGATTTTTTTAAACTATAGTTTTTATTTTTATTAGCAATTTTACTGGGCATGTGTGTTTGTTTGCTTGGTTTTTAATAGGCAGAGCATGGAATGTCAACTTTGTTTCTACAAACAAATTTAATTATTCACAAACACCTCTAATTTAGTCCTTCTTTCCCCCTTTTAGTCTTATTCCTTGGAGGGTCGAGTGGTCATGGGACCTCACCTGGATTTCACAACTGACTTTGAATCTGGTCTGAAACTGAAGTATGCTGAAGTTGCCTTTTGCACTCTGGAATTTAAGGTAATGTCTACAATAAATATTGTAACTGAGGGCTTGTTTTGGGGGGGGGTTAAACAAGGAATGTATAGGAGCACAAGTCATGACTCCCCTTGTCCCCTTGTTATAAAGGGCCGTGTTGCAGACACAAATTGTTTGTCTGTGCTGGAGACCAGAGGGGAAGCTGTCTTTAAAAGGATGGGGCTCTTATACCATATGTGAAGTTACCTATTCAGGTGAGTGGATTACATGCAAGTCATTGCAAATGCATAAATAGTGGGAAATTTTTACTGGGCAGCACAAATTAAGTGAAACTCAAAAAACGTTGAAAAATATTTGGAATATTTGCAAAAAACTTGATTGAAATGAATACAACACAAGTGCTGTATCACTTCAATCAAGTTTTTTTTGCAAAATTTTCCTAATATTTAAATCATAAAAAATTAGCTTGATGCAAGAAACATCCTGCTAGTATTCAAGAGCAAGTGCTGTGATGCATGTGTTAACTTTGCAATAAGTGTGAACCCAGCATTAGATTATAGTCTGTAAACAGAAGATGTAAATCAAATCAACTGTTTTAAAATGCTCTGCCAAGGTCATTAAAGCCACTATTTGTTGTTGGACTGTTCTTGATTGTGTGTTTGTGATGGAAATGCTTTTCAGATGTTTTTGTTTAAATAATTGCAGTTTGACTGAGCTACAGTATTGTCAGCATGTTCAAACTGAGCTAACAGTAATTTTGCTCTGTAGTGCAGCAGTAGTTTCCCAGTAGTGTTGTATGAAGCTAACTGTTTGTCTGCCCTTTTGCTTATAGGTGCTTTTTGGGCACCAGTTTGGAGATGGAAGACAGACGAAGTCAAAGAAGCAGAGAAGACACATCAACCAGCAAGTGTGTAAAATTATCAGGAAAATGATTGACCTTGAATAGACGACTGCCTAATTTAGCAAGAAGTTTTGTCTCTCTCTCTCATGTGTGTGTGTATATATATATATATATATATATATATATATATAATGAGAGACAGAGAGAGCGCACTCTGAAGCACTGCTTTTTATATGTAAGCTACATATGATGTCAGATTTTTTTATTAATATGTTCTTATAGTATTTTTTGAGGCTTCACCTTCACCTTTTGAAAGTTTTCTGAAATGTTTACACAGATGTCATTAAGCTGTTAAATAAATCTGTAAAATGTATGTGTGTTTGTTTTTATTTTGATTTTAGAGTCTTCTCAGATCACCCAAAAATGAAGATTCTGTCGTCATTTACGCATCCTCAGGTTGTTTGGACACAAAGAGGATTATTTGATATTTTTATTCCTGTGTTTAACAAAAAAACATTTTTAACAGAGCTGGAACAACCTGAGGGTGAGTAAATCAATATAGAATTTTCATTTTTGTGTGACCTAAAATTGCTTTGAAATTTTACAGCACCAAACTGTTAAATTACAGTAATCCGGGATATAATTGTAACTTTACAGTTAAATCAGGTATTTAAACTGCAACCTACTGCTAAATCACAGTAATCGTTTTGCAAATTCACAGTAAAATATAGTTATTTCTACAAGATAATACTGTGAAATCACAGTAACAGACTTTATTATCTACTGTAAAGTTACAATATATGGTTGTAATTTCACAATAATTTAATGTGACAAAACCACAGTAAATTACTGTGAACTACCTCACAATAATTTACTGTGAATTTACATACAGTAATTTACTGTGAAAGTAATGCAATTATTAGCCAGTAATTTACTGTGAATTTAAGGTCAAATTTTTTACAGTGTATATATAACATGAACATTCAATAATATAACTTCTTGTAATATACTTGTTGCAATAAACAGTAGTTCATAGGTAAATTTCCTTATAGTAAATGGTTATGTAATGGATTTATGTGTGCATTTGAACTTCTTATGCATCAAATATGTGTTCCTAACTTTTTCTTGATTAAGACATGTTGAATTCGTCTTTTATTATTTGCAGTGTTTCTAACTTTCATTGTTTGTATTTTTTCTTATCAATTTGTTTGTTGTTTTAAATGTTTTTCTGTAAAGCTAATTCTTACCACACCTAACTGGTTATAAGAGATACGTTTAAGGGATTATATGCAACATCCTTAATTTATTCTCTGATGTAAGGAGAGATCTCCCCTTAAGTATCATGCTTAGAGTGAACCTGCATTATAAAGCATCAGAATCTGTACTTTGCATCGGCCGATCACCATGACACAAAATCGGTACTTGGTATCGGCTTCAAAAATCCTTATCAGAGCATCCCTATTTTCTACAAGCCCACGTTTCCCTCAACAGTGGAAGTTTTACATTTTCAGAAACTGAGATACGAAGTCAGAATTTCTTTAGAACGTTATAAATTTTTTCCTCACAACATAGTTTTACATCTTGGCTTATAACTTCTGAGAAAAACCATGATTGTTAGATAGTAACTGCATGCTACATATTGTTGTGAATAAAAGAAGAGATAGACCAGAAGACTATTCAGGTATTTAATGAGAACTCGTCATTTCTGTTCATCATCAAAGACTCTAAATGAGTGCATCTTTGCACTCAATTTAAATACATCTTAGCAAGGCAGTGCTACATAGAGGTGGAGTTAAATCTAAACAAAACATGCAAATGAAGTACCGGAGTCAGCCAGGTAAATGACACTTCCCCAGCCCTAATCTCATCAACATAATAGTACCTATTCAAACGCATAGGTGTTAATACAATCAGCCATTTTGGAGCCTCCCAGATAGTCAGGAAGGGCACAGAGACAATAGGTTAAAAGTCTCCTAACACTTGGCCTCCTGTAGTTTTTGAATGAAATCAGATTTTTTTGAACTAGATTATATACATTTTTATTTCCACAGTATTTATTTCTTTTTAATCTTTTGGCAGAAACAAACAGATATGTAAGTGTTTTTGTAATTGCAACTTTAAAATAACAGACAGAATTAATGACATAGCACAATGAACTAATACCATACTTCAGAAGTACCTCAATAAGTGAATGCGACCTTACCTTTTCCAACAAACTCCACCATGATGTCCGCCTGATGGGAATACGACCTCAAGAATGTGAGAGGACTGGCTTTGGCCCAGACATCCAGAGCCGAAGAGATCAGATCATCCACTGCATTCACTGGTAAGTCATTGGTGTACCGGCCAACACTAAGATTTTACCACTTAAATTACCATACATCAAGATACAGAGCAGTCACATACACAACATAAAAATGAAGTTTACCCATAAGTGATGATGTTTTTCTTCCACCTGTTTCCACGCCGGTGACTATAATCCTCCACATCTGAGACGCCACATCGAGGAGTCCTCATGACAGCGAGAGTGTCTGCGTTCAGGGTTCCTGTCCCGTTCAAACCAAAAAAACCCTGCATATTCTTCAGTTTAGAAGAGAAAGAGGGACGACTTCTTCTTTTGCGGCCTGCAGAATCTGCTTGAAAACTATAGAATTGCTGCAAGTATTTCTGTAGAAACACAGTAAATAGCAATTAAAATGTAAAGCCTGACTTTGCATGTGTATGATCTAAAGTAAAAAAAGTTGCATTTGTGTATTTTTATTATATTATGTCAGTAGAATGTATGTTTTTGATATATGTAAGTAAACAATAATTATGATATAATTATTGTGAAACTGAGAAAATGTGTCGGGTCAGAGGGAAAGATAGAAGAACAAATGATTACACCTAAACATGAAGTTAAATATTTTGGTTGCATCTTAAATAGCAATTTGACAGGTAAGAAGATAGCTGGTATAGTCCATTCAAAAATTTGTTCTAAAATGACATTTTTTTTGCAAGACAGGGAGAGCTCTTAGATACCCAAACTTAAATATATTTAAAAAATATTGCCTAGTGCATTAGTGCAGCATACTTCTACTATTGATACAGCCTTTTGGTACAAAAGGTAGTTCTAAAAAGTGAAAAATAAATTGCAGTCCAAAATAAGTTGTGTAGAATTGTCATGAAAGTACCTCCACTGACACATTTACATGAAAAACATTCTAGTAAAAGTATTTTTATTCAAGTCGAAAAAACGTTTTTGAAATTAGTGATGATGTTAAAGATTTTACAGAAAATGGTAGCAAAATATTTTCTTGATGATCATGTTTAAGTTATTGAGGTACACTGCATTCTTCAAGAGCAAGTAGCAGGTATTATTCTTGAAGATTTAAGAGTGAAATGGGTAAAAATACTTTTTAGGTACACTAGCTTTGTTGCTTTGTATAAATTGCCTATAAGCGTTTTAAAGAGATTCAATTTGTGTGTTTTAGAAGGGAAATTAAAAAATGGTTGTTTTATGGTTGAAATTGAAGATCTTGTTGACGAGTTGCTGAGCTGACGATGTTTGCACTCCTTTTATGATTTGCTTGTTCGATTTGCTCGTTTTTAGGATTTTCAAGGACCCCAATGAAAATAAGACTGGCATTTTTGTGTATTTCATCCTCAACAGTTTTTAAACTTTATGTGAATCAGTGTAATTGGACTTGTTTGTATATGTATATATATATATATATATATATATATATATATATATATATATATATATATATATATATTCATATAATATATATAATATATAATATTATAATATATATTCATATATATAAATGTATTTTTTTTTTATTGTAAAATAAAAAATTCATTCATTTTCTTGTCGGCTTAGTCTCTTTATTAATCCAGGGTTGTCACAGCGGAATGAACCACCAACTTATCCAGCATTTTGACGCAACGGATGCCCTTCCAGCCGCAACCCATCTCTGGGAAACATCCACACACACACACACACACACATAAACTACGGACACTTTAGCCTACCCAATTCACCTGTACCACATGCCTGGACTGTGGGGGAAACCGGAGCACCCGGAAGAAACCCACGCGAACACAAGGAGAACATGCAAACTCCACACAGAAACGCCAACTGAGCCGAGGTTCGAACCAGCGACCTTCTTGCTGTGAGGCGACAGCACTACCTATTGCACCACTGCATCGCCCTAAATTATCTTTTAAAATAACTTTTACTAAAATCATAGATCTATATAGAAACTAAATTCATAGATCTATATACTTTAGAGCTTGATAAAATTTGTTAAGAAACTGTGATTTGTTTTGTTAAAGGGTAATTTATTTAAAAAAAATATATCAACATTTTAGAGCTTTCTCCACTTGACACTTCAAAGATTTTGCTTCTTTTTTAAACTACCTAGCTGCTTTAAACTACTTAAAACTAGCTGAATCATTACAATTCTTGAGTTTTTTGGGACAACGTAATTGTTTTATGTTTAATGCAGTTAAATTTCAAAAAACTGTCAAGTTAACTGAGTGTTGGTCAAGGAATGTTTTTATTTGTTGTAATTGAAAATCAGGGTTTTTTTACCCAAACCAGATTTCAAAGCTCTTTTTACAATTAAAACTTGTGTTGTCTAGAAATGAATTGAAAGATAATGATAAATATCCTTTTGATATTTAAAAAAACATGCTGTAAATATTATTAAAAAAATGAAAAATTTATTTAGCAATATTTCCATATTTATAATAGTAACTTGGACTTACTGTTGCCAAGGACAGGTCATTCTGAGCAGGTTTCGTCGGATGCACCATTCCATCATCTCCGAGCGGTAAAGGTAGTGAATAATGCTGACCAAAAAGGTCAAAAGCACAAACCAGACAGAGCAAAACCTGCATCTCCTCTCTGCAGACCACAGACGCTTCTGGAAATGGCCAGTCCAAGGAGACATTGAAAGTCTTAGCTGATGGGAATGCTTTTTAACGTATTATTATGACTCAGACAGTGCCAAGAAAACCTCAAGCTTTGGGAGTGGTTTGCTCTGGTCACAAGAAAAGAGGTATCCCGTGTACAATGTGTCAAATTATATGCATCAAAGGCATTTACTGCAAAAAGCAATTCCTAGATTTCACATGGGATTGTCAGAGTGGTATCTACCATATTTTTAGCAGTATTTCACGGCCAATGAAATGCCCCTTCCATTATCTGTCCCTGTTTTTGGAAAAAAAGCATCTGGAAAGAGTTTTTCCCCATATATAGCTCTAATGCCAGCAGAGTGTTACTTATATGTAGTAATCTGCACCATTTCTACATTAGCGCACAGTTATTTTCTTTCCTTGCTTTTCCTTGAGAATTTGGCTGAATATTATCAAAGTCAAACAGTGTAAAAACTTTTGTTTTTCTTTTTACTTTGATGCCATAGTTTTTGTTCCCCAACATATGCGTTTAAAGTATTGCTTCTTTATTAAAATCCACAGCAGCTATTGAGTTCATTTAAAGCTAGACCAGGGGTGTCTAAACCCTATATCTTAGTTCCAATCCTAATTAAACACACGTGGACCAGCTAATCAAGCTCTTTCTAGGTATTGAAACTTCCATATAGGTGTGTTGAAGAGAATGTAGATAAGGATATATGCAGTACCTGGTTTAGACACTTCTGTGCTGGAAAATCGCTGTCGAGAATCGCTCTCTGCCACTAATACTGAAGTTAATTACACTGCTTATATTAATTCCACTACATGCTATTTTATTATACTATAAAACCCAAAAAGTAAAGGTAACTCAAACCATCTGAGAAAACCGATAGCAGTAAACCATTTAAGTTCGAAAACTAATCCCAATGAGTACTGTAAACTTAATCCATTTGAGTAAACGAATCAATTTGAGCACAGAAAAACCCAATAAGTGAAGAGAACTGAAACCAATTGAGTACTGTAAAACCCAATAAGTTAAGGCAACTCAGACTGATTGAGAAAACCGATTCCTACAAACCATTTACATTTCACTGTAAACCCAACAGTCAATTTTATCAAATGTAATGAGTGTAGTTAACTCAAAATTTACTGAAAGTTAAATCTATTCATTTGAAAAGAGAGTTGAAGGTAAGAAGTTAATCAAATACCTCATTTAACTTAAATGGATTAAGTTTACAGTACTCATTTAGATTTGTTTTTGAACTCAAATGGTTTGTTGCAATTGGTTTCCTTAAACGGGTTGAGTTGCCTTACCTTATTGGGTTTTACAGTGCGATAATTTGATGTTTTTATTCTTGTGTTGCAGAAACTGTTTAATAGTCTAAATGCATGGTCATGTGCTGGACGCTCACTGCTGATCCTTCGTCATCAACCATCAACGTGTTCAACAAGCTGCAAGAATTCAATCTATTATTCATTCATTCCTTTTTATTTTCAGCTTAGTCCCTTTATTAATCTGGGGTTGCCACAGCAGAATGAACCGCCAACTTATCCAGCACGTTTTTACACTGAGAAAGTCAATCTATTACTTAGTTGGAAATATAGCAATGTAAGTGTTTATTTTTTCCTCTATATACACTTTCTCATGACAGAGAGAGGGGAATGTCAGATTGTAGGCCAAATTTAGCGTACACAGAAATCTAATAAATGAGAAGAGTTTTACAGTGTCAGAAAAGGCAAAGGTAATGTTACGAGGATGGTTTACTCAAAAATGATAATCTACCCATTTCTTTCACCATTAATTGTTCCAAATCAGTATGAGCGCAAGAAAATAATAACACTTCAATAATTAAACAAACAAAAATCTTTCAGCCATCTCAGAGCTTTATAAACAGTTACAGCAATCGGAAATCAGCTGTCAACAGCCCAACTAAAGCCAACAATGATCACAAGAATTTAATTATTGTTTATTCCTAATCTGAACTCAATAAAAACTTAAACCAATAAAGATCCATTTTACAAGTGTTCAGTGTTTACTTTATTCAATTTCCTTAAGCTAGTCCCTTTAATTATCAGGTAATTAATTATTATTCGGCTAGTCCCTTAAATTATCCGCCAACTTATCCAGCAAATGTTTTACGCAGCGGATACCATTCCAGTTGCAATTCAGCACTGGGAAACACCCAACACTCTTGCATTCACACACACTACAACCAATGTAGCTAATTCAATTCACCTATAGCGCATGTTTTTGGACTGTGGGGGAAACTGGAGCACCTGGAGGAAACCCATGCCAACACGGGGAAAACTTGCAAACTCCACACAAAAATGCCAACTGACACAGCAGGGGCACGAACCAGGGACTTTCTTCTTGTTCGGCGACAGTGCTAATCACTGAGCCACTGTGTCACCCCACAGTATTTACTTTTAACTCATAATTAGTTTCTCTGTTTCTGAAAAATGAACATCTTCAGCACTGGATTGCAGTAAAGCTGACATTATATAAGACCAGCTATAAAAGATTTGTGTATAGTGCTGGAATAGGTCATTTAAACAAGTAGGAGGATAGTATTTAAAGAAATGTGTAATTTTAGGTTACAGTTTAACAGAATGCCAGGAGAGAAATGTTTAAAGCCGGTGTAATTGTGGGCTCACTGCCTTTCTGCCATACAATGCTAAAGTGGCTACTTGTAAAATTGTCTGTGGTGAGTATTGAGGAGAATATATAAAATAAAGTAACCTTTTTCGAACAACTGAGCTCATTTTGCAGTGGTTAAAATATAATGCAGGCGGACTCTAAATCGGGGACTGTCTAAAAGGGTGAGAAACATTTTTCTTTCTCACGTTCATCAAACATACTGGCAAGAAAAAAGGAAAAAAATGCACAAAACGTCCTGAAACATGCAACAGCATTTCCCTTCTTAGATAAAACGAACTTTACAAGCATGCCAAGAGTCCTGCCAGTGTGCCTTCAAGGAAGAAGGAAATAGCTAATTGAATAGCAGAAATTTCCACATTTAAAGATATCATAAGCATCGTGTTTAGAATGTATTTATGCTGGATTTGAAATTTAAATAATACAAATACAGTGGGGGAAATAAGAATAAGTGACAATTTTTCTTAGAAAACATATTTGTAAAGGTGCTGATGACTTGAAATTTTTACCAGATGTTGGTAACAACCAAAGAAATCAATATATGTAAAGAAAACTAATCTAATTAATTCATAAACTACTCTCTGTTGGAGTCTGTAAATCAAACATAAGCAACGCATGCGACTTCATTCTACATATAAGGATATTTAAGCTGCCATCAGCAAAAAACAAACACATAATAATAATAATAATAATAATATTCTCTGAAAAATATAGCAATTTCTCTTTGTGTCATTCCATTATTATTACGCATAACAAATTTTCCCAATTTTTTATTTTTTTTGTATTGTTTGGTTTTTTACCAAAATCTTGTTCAATAACAGCTCCTTTACAAATATTATTCCCATGAAAAAAAACATTGTGTACAATACTTATTTCCCCCACTCTACACAGCATTATCAGCTCAGTGTTTCTCTGTGCGTGGCATCTCTCTTTTTTATGCTTTGGTTTCACAACATAGCCGTGAGCCAATGATCCACAGACTGCATTGCATTCTTTATTTTGCTTCCAAACACTTCCATTGCACAACTCGCAACCACTCACGCTTGCAAAAGACGACCCTGGTTATCATTGAGGCAATTATATGGTTAATTATTTTGAGAAGTAAGTAATTGCTTTGTTTTGGGCCTCGTAAAAACAATCTGATCCAATATGCAAAAGGTTCAGAGGTACATATGATAGGTGTGTATACAAAAACGTTTACAAAAAAGTGTTTTCAAATTATTGTGATGAATATCCCTAATTACATAATGTTTTTTTTTTTTTTTTTTTTACATAGGTAGAACATTAGGTAACAACATTTTGTCATCAAGGGATAGAGAATTGGCAATTTGCTATTTTGAAGCTTGTTTTGCTGTTATAATAGATTGGCCCCTTTGGACGGATAAGCAAGATTTTGCAAGACTTTATCCACATAATAGCCCAGACAATACTTCATTGAGAAACCATTGCAGTCTAGCATCATGTGACTTTAGTATACAAATAAATCTAAAATGAATCAAGTATGCTTTAGATTCCACCAAAATATTACTGAAAATTGCATATGGTCCAAAGACGAAAGGGTCTCACTAAAAAATAAATAAATAAAAATAAAAAAAAAAGAGGAAAAAATGAACCCAAAAGGATACATTTTAGTGTATGATCAATAAAAATTGCACTACTATTAAAAGCAGTATTACACTTTTATTGTTTTGATGCTTGAAAACCCTTTTCATCTCATATTATATTTTTTGTACAGAGTATCTCTGATATTTACTTAATAAATATGGGATTTTGACATTAGATGAGCAATCAGAAGTTTCTTAGAAATGTCATTCAGTTAAAAGTGTAAAATTGTGAACGAACGAATGAATCCAGGGTTTTTGATTCTGATTCATGGTTAAAATTTAAAGGAAGACAGTATGTGATTTCAGCCATGTGTACTTCAGGCATACCTAAAAAGGCCCTAGATTTGGAAATCCTGAAGTATAATAAATACATTACACACATTTACCACAACATTGCCTCAGTAGATCGCTTGGATTTGTCTTTCATTTAACCACCCTATTTAATTAATGTAAACACCCTATAAATTAGGTTCAATACAAAACAAGTGGATTAAGAACAGGATCTGAATTAAAGAGATATTTCACCCAAACATGATTTACTCACTATTGTTTTGCTTCTGCAAAAGGAAAAAAAAAGTTATTTGAAAAATGTGGGAAACTGGAAGCAACTGACATACATAGTAAAAAACACCATGGAAATCAGTGGCTACATACATGCAATGGCAACATTCTTCAAAATATCTTCTTTTGTGTTTAACAGAAGAAACTCAAATAAGATAGAAAAAAAAAAGAGCGTATTTTTTTTTATTTTGGGGTTGGTGGTGGTGGGGGGGGGGTGAACTATTCCTTTGAAATATTCATTTACTTCATTTTGTTTGCTATGGATCTGGTTGATACACGTTAGAAGAAAAGCATGTGGTAAACTTTAGTGCAACACAGTTACATAATCAAACTATTGAAAACATGCCAGTGGAACTAAAGAGCTCTCTGCTGCCATCTCCTTGTGTCAAGTCATGTGACACATAAACTACAGTCGTGCTTACCAACAGGTGGAGCTATAGAATAAGAAATACACACCATGATGCTGGATGTGTGTTGGATTTACTCTACATCTTAAAATGTCCCTGCTCTTCATTCTCCTTCAATAATAATTGTTACATTCAGATACACCACCATACTTAAGAAAAGACTGTTACATCCATTTCTACTTTACTAATATGCTACCAGACAACAGCACACCCAATATAGGCAATGTTTTAAAAGGGTTTTGATACTGGATAGCAGAAAGATAGTAGAAATCTGAACCGTTACTATCACTCTATGAGGTACCAGAGAGCAAATGTCTTTCGAAGTGATGTCATGTGCGTACAGAGACAAAAGTTCTTCATCATTGATTTATGAACTTCAACAGTCCTGTCAGAGTCAGTCAGAGTTCTCGTCATTGCTGGAGTTGGACAGCAATGGACATTCTGGCCTCCTGCTCAAACTGCTCCGTTTCCTCCTCCGTCCAAATTTCCTCAGCCTGCGCCGGATGATGTCTACAAATGACACTTTTTGATAAGCCTTTCATCAGTGACGGGAATAAATGTGAAAACATGAGGAACTTGTGTACTTACCACCCACACTGTCATAGTCTTGCTGGTTGTCATGCCAGTAGAGGCTGGTGGAGGGCCGACAGTGGCGATAGAGGCGCGTGTGGAGCACAGACAGGGTGAGAAGCACTAAGATAAAGCCCACCGCTCCTGCTGCCCACACGGCCTCATCCGTACGAGGAATGGAAATTCTTTCTCCCCTTATCGACCCCTCTATATGATTAGAGTCCGGGACGCCACACTGTGCAAACTCACGGCATTCAGATTCAGACGTCTGCGCCTTTGTGTCAGTCTTAATGCGATGCTTCCTACTATCTGTTTTCTTGTGCGATTTTCTGTTCGTTTGGTATTTTTGTCTTTCAGTGACTATATTTAACTGCTGTGCAGTTGTTTTTGTGTGGTTGGTAGCAGTTCTTTCAGGCTCCTCAGAGTCCTTGGCTGAACCGTGAGATTGTATAGCAGTTTGTATTGTATTATTTTGTGGTAGTGTGTCTGTTTGGTTCAGTTTTGCACTGTCTGTGCTGGTAAGTTTGACGTTTTCTTTCAGTTCCGCATCCTCTGGGGATTGCTTGAGGGCCATTCTGGTCTTTCTGGTTATACGTTTCAGACTGAGAATCCTCATGCAGCAGTGTTTCAGAGACTGGCGTTGAAAGAAACAGTATGCATAGAAGGTTAACATTAGTATTTTTATTTACATAATATGACTAAGTTGTCCTGATTCATTTATTTTAGTCCATTTTTACCTTTAATCTCTCCACTCTGGACATCTCTTGGCTGGTGTTCACTGGTTTGTGCAGAGCTGGTTTTGTCAAATACATATTGTATTTCACTCCATGGCTTGTACTGAATAGAGTTATATTGGGGAAAATAGAAAGCAGCCAATCGCAAACTCTAAGTGTGATTTGAGACATCTCTAGTGAGCGACCCCAGGAGACCACAGCTAAAGGCTGTCAGAAAGATAAAAGACATGATGTTTGTAAGAAATCAGGCTTTTTCAATGTAGAAGCACATTAGGTGATGCGTTAGGCATTTTGTAATTCAACTTCATTATCACAGGAATACATTTGAGTAGTGGATATTAAAGGGCACCTATGGTAAAAAATCAACTTTTCAAGCTGTTTGGACAGATCTGTGTGTTGGTATAGTGTATAAACCGTCATACTGGAGTGATATGAACACACCCAGTCCTTTTTTTTTTTCAATTTAACTACAAAAAAAAGGGTCGGCCAATTGGAGCTGTTTTCAAATCGATCGCACCATTACGTAGATGTGCGATCCCCCCGCCCACCGAATTGATTGACAGCTGCGCGCATTAACATGTTCCGGTAGTCGCGTGTATATGTCAACAAGACCAGACAGACATACGCAACGCAACCGGGAATAAAAGGTCTGTTCTGTTCTGTAGGATCAGCAATCATCATCAAATGTGATTAAGAGTGAGTTTCACATGTTTAAAGTGTTTTAAAACAGAGTTTGTGTGTAATTAATTACAGCGTTTTACTTCAGCTTTACTTCATCAGCACAGCCGCGTGTCAGAACGATTATAAAAGAAGACGCATCAATCCCGGTTTGTGGAAGTTAAATCAGGTTTATTTTGTACATTAGCATAACAGATATCCACACAGTACTTGAGGTTAGCCTTAACTAAGCTAAGTGCGCTCTGTCTGCCTGCCTGTGTGTGTGTGTGTGTGTGTGTCATCTGTGGTGTGTGTGTATGCGCGCGCGTGCGCGTTAACTTTGTAACGATATTGTGTGTGACTCATCAATGCAACTTCACAATACTGATTAGTAAAGGTAAGTTCTTACTGTAGTATCTCACAAAAGCTACGTGAGACCTTCTTCCTTTAAGTCTGTCTGTTGTCTGACGCAGCTGAGGGAGGAGGCATGTAGTGGGCGAGAAAGTGGGCGGGAAAGAATCGTCTTAAAGGCGCAGTATGACAAAACCACCCCCTGCTGGAAATCAGTATAAAACAGCATCTTGTAAAAGGTATAATGAAAAATCTGATGGGTATTTTGATCTGAAACTTTATATACACATTCTAGAGACGCAAAAGACTTATATTAAATCTGAAAAAAGGGGTAACCTAGGTGCCCTTTAATACACTTTAAAGCCCCGGTCAGATCACAAGATTTTTATTGTCAGATATGAAGGTCACCATGTCAGATTATGCGATTTTGTTTTTCTTGATTAAAATCTTTACTTGTCATGAGTAACAAATATGCCAGACTACACATTCCTTCACAATCCGTCATCCTGTGACGTCTATGACGAGTGTTATTTCCCGAAGCAGTCACAAGAGTTGCTATAACAATATTACTTCTCTCAATTTAATAACAAAAAAAATCTTATTTCAATCTCAGTATACACTGATGCTTGCTGACAACTAGGCTACATTATTTAAAGGCATTCATTATGACATTGATAGGATCAAAATTATGATTGCTTTTTAATATTAGGATATTTTCTTTGAAATCTAATTGTATATTTTCCTGCCAATATTATTAAACTCTCCCTTGCCTAAACTTGCTGCGAGTGAGACAGACAATTAAATCCTTATTTTCCACAGAGTGGAACAAATTATCAGCGCACAGTTGATCAGAGAATGGGCACAAACAAAAACATAATTCGTATATTTTTCTTGGAAAATATATCGTTTTGCAACAAATTTCATTTGCTATAATTTGTGTCTTAATTCTAATGTATTTTTTGTTGGTCAGTTAACTACTAGATAAAAAAGAATAACGAATAACCTTTGAAATGAAGTGCTTCAAAACAAGTCCGCTATAAGCTTCAAATTGTGTTGGTTTGTTTAAATGAAATATTAATCTAGCCTTAATAAAATTTAAGTGAAATAGTTAATGACAAATTTGAATAAGCAGGAAATGCTTTCACAATGTATTCACGGCACTGAACATGTTCCCAGATTATCACGAAAGAACAAACTCAGTCAGAAGGATGAAAGAACTCAGAACATGATTGTGAGAATGGAGATGTTTGCATATTTGTGCCAGTCTGTCAAATAAAATTTCTCAAAACACCCTAATATTTTAGAAAAACAGTTATAGTTTGCATAACCAATGATTGATCATTTCAACCCGTGTCCCACCCATTAGTAAATATTCAGCCTATTTTTTGATTATATGACCAGCGCATTACCAGCAGCACCTGCTGATATAACCTAGAAATGATGTGTTCCTATTACACAGTCACCCACGTGACGGAACTCGTTGTGAAGCACGAGAAAAAAAATTAAACATGTAGATATTCTGCAAGAGTTTTGCTAGGCATCGCAGTCATGGTACCGTGAAGCGTCGCAGGCATGGTATCGGTTATCGTGAACTATGCCACATTTCACGTAAAGAAACAATTGAATCTTGTCACAACGTTTACAAATCCCCACGACACCCGATGTCAAGGAAAACGTGCCGAAATTTTGCCAAAATAATGTGATCTGACCAGGGCTTAAGGTGCATTTTAACTCTATGCATAATAAATGAACATATATTAATGATGAACGAGTGTATAGTTAAAAACAAACATTGTAAAAAAAACAACAACTCATAGATAAATAATAGACATATTGAGTGAAATATAGTGATACAATCAGACAAAATATTCTGGTTATTATGTGTGTTATAAATAGAGGTCATATATTGCTATTTGCATAAAAATATGTACATTCTGATATAGAAATAAGTTAGCATTTGCGGTAAAATTAAACTTTCCCTAATCCACACGATGACTCCACAATCCTGCAGTGTCGAGCAGTGGTCGGAACACCTGCGTTACGTGTTGTGAATGGTGATGCGTGTGACTCACTCTGTGTTGGCTGAGCCATGGGTGAGGTGTGAGGATGTAATGAGACAGACATGAGTGCGCCAACACTGCCAGACTCCTGCGAGCTTCCGCTGAGACACACGGGTGATACAGAAACACCAGGCCTCCATTCTGTCAAAAAAACACATCACGCTCGGTACTAATGTTCAAAATTAGCTTCATTAAAGGGATAGCTCACACAAAAAAGTATGTTTATTTAATCATCCAAAAATCCTTTTATCATTCACCACTAGTTCCAAACCAGTTTATCTTTTGTTGAACACAAGGGAAGATATTCTGAATGTTGGAAAAAACAGCCATTGACCTCCACAGTGTTTTTCATTCCTAATGTGGATGTCAATAGCTGCTTTTTCCAACATTCTCCATAATATTTTCCTTCATGTACAACAGAAGAAACAACTTAATTAAAACTTAAATAAAAGTTTAAAACCATGTGAGTGTGAGTAACTGTGAACTATCCCTTTAACAGGTTTACAGATATAAATACTGTGATTGTCGATTACTTTGAGGTTGTTTAGCCAGCGTTGAGGAGGGCAGTAGATGTACTCTCCACTCTCTGCCTCTACAGGCCGATAATCACCACTGGAAAAAAATTACATGAGAAATTGTTAATACACAACTAAACACATATGCAAACAGATGGATTTTTGGGGGGGAATGACATCTGATTCTGTTAGTAAATCAAACATGAACAGTGCCATCAGTGTAGCAGGGTTTCTGTAGGTTTCACCAAGACAAATTTAAGACTTTTGAAAACCTTTTTAAAAACATTATGAATGAAATCTTACTCACCTTAAGTCGCTAAAGGTTTAACGCTAAAATGCTAAAGGTTTTTTTTCTAGTGGCCAGAGGAAATTATTTTTACTTGCCTCATTAATAATCAAACATTTCAATTCAAACATCAATTTCACAGCGGAATAAACCACCAACTTATCCAGCATAAATTTTACGCAGAGGATGCCCTTCCAGCTGCAACCTAGTACTGGGAAACACCCACACACTCCTGCATTCACACACATATACTACGGACAATTTAGTTTGTTCAATTCACCTATAGCGCATGTCTTTGGACTGTGAGGGAAACACGGGGAGAACAAGCAAACTCCACACAGAAACGCCAACTGACCAAGCGGGGGCTCGAACTAGAGATCTTGCTGTGAGGCAACAGTGCAATTTTAAAACAAATAACTCATATAAACCTTTTTTGTAAAAAAAAAAAGGAACAATTATTAATGAATGACTTTTATAAGCAATGTATTGCAGCAAAATGCACCTCTGCCAGATTATGCCTCCACTCACCTGTCAGAATATGGGTAAGGTTATAATTAGGTGTGGGGTAGGGTAAGGATTAGGAGGTGTTGTGGGGGCAATCAGGTAGCAGATTTACTCATGAGTGCATAATTTTGCTAGCATGCATTTTTCAGCAATTAATTTTCTTTTCGGCTTAGTCCCTTTATTAATCTGTGGTCGCCACAACAGAATGAACCGAAAACTTATCCAGCATATGATGCCCTTCCAGCTGCAACCCATTACTGGGAAACATCCATACACACTCTTTTACACTCATACAATACGGACAATTTAATTTACTCAATTCCCCTTTATCGCATGTTTTTGGACTTGTGAGCCCGGAGGAAACCCACACCAACATGGGGAGAACATGCAAACTCCACGCAGAAATGCCAACTAACCCAGACGGGGTTCGAACCAAATCTTCTTGCAGTGAGGCAATTGTGCTTCCCTCTGCGCCACTGTGCTGCCCTTTTTCAGCAATATGCTGCTTAATTTAATCTATAATCCATGAACACCATGATCAGAACAGTCAGATTTTCAGAGATCGAAAATAAATAGAAAAATCAATGTAATCTGACTTTGAACTCCTATGAGCAAATACTTTTTAAATGATCAAACACATATATTAAAATCATTACAGTCCAATTATCAAACAAATTATTCATTACAGCTGGGTTTTTGTGTGAATACAAACATGCAGCATGCTTAGTGTAGTCTGATTTTTAAAAAGATTATTCTTATGACCTGTTTGAGAGACTACAATATGTCTTACGGAAATTTTTATGAAAGCACAAGAGTAAAGAGGAATCAGAACTGGAAGCGGATCTAATTATTTACAATTGCCTGCCCTAAATTAAATGAAGAGATAAGGAATCACAGATGAAGGATCTGAGTGGAGTGTGTCTTAACTTACTGGGTGGGTAAGCTCTCATTGTATTTAATAGGTGTGTCCATACAAATGTAATCAGATGCCTGCACAGGACAAAAGTCAAGAGTTACACGACACTTACTAAAACTCAGATACTTTAATTATCTCATTAAATTCTATTTAAATCAAAGCTTCATTATTTAATAGGTCAATAGTGAACAGTGTTGTCAATATTTTTATCTTTACCTCAACAATGTGATTTGTGTCAGTATCAGGAACATTCTGCAATTACGAAAATAAACATCTGTCAGTCACGGATTTATTATCAGTGTGTTTATGTTGGTAGTGTTCAATATGAATACAGTATATTTTACCAGCTGGGACTGTGGCCAGAGCTCTTGACAGAGAAGCTCTTCAGGTCCTGGTAGGTCCATGACCAGATTTGTCTGAAAAAAAAAAAAAAAAAAAACAATCACAGATCTCTCTCTTGGTTACTTTAATTTATACCAATCCCCATAGTTTATACAATTAGAATATAAATAATAGGAATATACATAAATAAGTAAATCATAATTTTATGTAGGCTACTTTCTCAAAACTGGAGAAATGGCAAGCATACAGAACAAGTAGACATATTTTGGCTTTAGAGTATATTAGATGAAGAATGTCATAGCAAGATTGCAGCTGCAACTACTTGTCGAGTACTCCTCAATAATTACAACTTTGATAATGTAATAACGTGTTAAAGAGTGAATGTAACTAAGGAAATACTGTTTACCTTGCCATTGTCGCAGAGTCTGGATGGGCAACAACGTGTCACACAAAGACAAATCAATCCTGACAGGAAAACCACTTGTCGACCCATTATGTTAAATACATTCAGTACGGTAAGGTTTACTGTATCTCTGTCTCTGCCATATAATCACAGCACTCGACAGGACTTTAAAAATACAAATATCCGTGTTTAATCGAGTCTGACAATCCATGCTGATCTTTCCCTGTTGGAAAGTCAGGCTTTTAAACTTACGAAACCGCAAGTTAGTCTCGTTCGCCTTACAACTAATGCCATCGCGATCAGCAGTAAAGCATTACAGATCCGTCAGAGATGTTTTTATATCCTACTTTAAGTGTTGAGTTTCTTTTTTAACTTTTGATGTTTATCTTTTGATGAGTTGGAAGTCTTCATTCGGAAAATCGCAAATACAGCTTCAATGCACGCACACGTCCTCTGTTTATAATAGTTCAGCCAGGGAGCACGTAAACCTCACACAATAACGTAAGCAGTGTTCGCAAATCTTAAGGGAATACATAAGTTTGACTACGGCGGCTCACATGGATCACAACTCGTTTTCGACCTTTAGGACTCATTGACGTCATTGACACCAACAAGGAACTATGATTTGTATCCATAAAACTTATGAACAGTTTATGAAAATTCATCAGTTTCTAATACCATTCAAGAAATTTAACATTATTGTAAAGGCTATCCCAAAAGAATTAATACATCTAACAAAAAATCATATTTTATATATAAAAAAAAAAAAAAAAACATAGAACCCTCCTTATTAGACGGCATTAGTGTATATGATAGGAAATGCAACAACAAACTTATCCTTCGAATTCTCCAACAAAAAAATCAAATTGCTCCAAGAGGGAAATCATATTGGTCAGCATTAATAGAGGACATTGATTGGAAAAGAACATGGCTTCTCCCATATAAATATGTAATCCCAAACAAAGCAAAGGAAATCTTTTTTTAAAATTCTACACAAAATATACCCGGTCAATGCATTTATCTATACATTTACTGATATTGCAGATACTTGTTCCTTTTGTCAGGAAAATGAGGAAACTTTGACTTGCATGTTTTTTACATGTAAAATCTCACAAAAGTTTTGGTCTGATTTATATAATAATTTGGATAAATCCCAAGCAACAAAACAAATCTTTAAACTGAAAGATATTATTTGTTATTATTCTAATCCCAAGAACAAAAATGAAGAATATATAAATATGTATATGTATATATATATATATATATATATATATATATATATATATATATATATATATATATATATATATATAACTTTTTTATATTATATGCAAAATTCTTTATCCACAAACAAACAATTCTTAAATCCTCTCCCTCGTTTGCCCATTTTTTAATCGAAATTGATTCCATGCTTAAAGCTATACGTCTATCTAACAACAAGAAATTCAGCAAGTTAATAGAAACTTATGAAAATATTATGCTTCCAGTATGTTAGTAATTAATGCTTTCTGTATTTTTTATTTAATTTAATTTTGTACATCCCCTTTCCTTTTTGTTCTCTTTTTTATTTTCTTTCAATTACTCCTTTCTTTTTACTTCTTGTTCTTATTACTTTGTAATTGTATATTCTTGTATTCCAGTCTTCTACAGATTACTTCCTGATTTATATTGTAAATTTCTTCTTTTCTAAATAAAAGTTTGTTTGAAAAAAAAAAAGATTACATTTGGATATTGATCATTCCTGCGATTTTTGCTGCATGGAAAAGGAATTGTCCATATGTTTTGTGATTGTATATACACAAGGATTTTCTGTGTGGATGTGGAAATTTTTTTTTATAAGGAAAACAAATATTGTATTCAAGTTAAACAATTTTGCTATTTGCATTTATTATGTCAATACATGTAAAAAAAAAAAAAAAAAAAAAAACCTTTCTAATACAATCTTGTACTACAACCTTGAAAAAATTGAATGCCAAATTTTGTTAATTTCCTTAAAGAGACTAAAGACTACTGCACAAGTTTGTAGAACACTATTAATAAAAAAAAGCAAAGAAGATTTGTAATATTCTTAAGGAGCATAAGATTAAAATGACTGAATGTTGAATGGTGGTGCAGTGGGTTTGCATGTTCTCTCTGTGATCGCGTCGGTTTCCTCCAGGTGCTCCAGTTTCCCCCACAGTCCAGACACGCGGCACAGGTGAATTGGGTAAGCTAAATTGTCAGTATTGTATGTGTGTGAATGAGTGTGTATGGATGTTTTCCAGTGATGGGTTGAGACTGGAAGGTCATCCGCTGTGTAAAAAAATAAGCTATATATGTTGGCGGTTTATTCCGCTGTGGCAACCCCTGATTAATAAAGGGACTAAGCTGAAAAGAAAATGAATGAATATAATAAAAAATTTAAAAAGAATTGATTGACAGGTGTCATGTCTCCCTTATAACATGTATAGTATACACATGTCCACAGAACATTTTTTGCAAAGAAATTGCAATTAAAACATAGGCCTATGTTACAACTCAGTGATCGGCTGCACCTCAAAAAATAATTTTATACGTTTAAAACATGTTTATAATAAAGAGTAAAATTGCTATGTAATTCTACCACGGCTACATGGTGTCAGTAAACGCATGTGTGACTCATAGTTTCAGAAAGACTTAAACTCCACCACACAAACATAGAATAAACCTACTTTGTATTTTTGACTCGTGAGCTAATTTTGGCTTTTTCCATGTCTGTCTCTATCACGGACGACTGTTTATCTGATGTTAGTGATGGGTTGTTTTTGAACGATTCGTTCATTTTGAACTAATCTTTTATCTGACTCAAGAACGATGAGTCCTCTCAGGAAGTCATTCGTTCATCTGTGCATGCGCACATTTGTGCAGGCTCAGGAGAAGATAAGTTCATTTCAGTTCAGAGTCCTCTATGTCAGCGGTTTCCAACAGGGGATGGGAACCACTGCTCTATCGGGTTTGAGTCATTCGTTCATCTTGTGAAAGTCAAAAGCCAATCATATGCAGCCAGAGCCGGAAAAAGAATTGATCTGTTCATCTCACCAATCCACAGGTTTTGAGTAATTTCTTTACATGCTGTCACGAGATGAACAAACGATTCAAAAACCTGAAGACTCAAAAGGTCAACTAATCATATTCGTTTCCGCATTTTGCCAAATGAAACAAAATGATTCGAAAAAAAGATTTGTTCATTTCGATGAACGGGACTCAAAGGTACGAGTCAGTAAAATGTCACAATCTGACCTAATGCATGAAATGCAGAGACGCACGTGGGATCGTTGGGTTTGAAGAAGCAGCTCATTCGGATTTAAAGCTACAGGCTACAAAAACAGCTACAGTATCATCAGACACGAAAATGGGCTGATTCTGGAGGCTATAATACATGATCTGATGGGTATTTTGAGCTAAAATTTTACAGACACATTCTGGAGACACCAAAGTCTTATCTTACATCTTGTATAGAGGTAAAATATGTGCCCTTTAAAATACATAATTCCATAATTTTCTATTATGCTATATTAGCATCAGAAACATTTGTAAAATATTCATCATGTACTGTTCCCCCATATCACACAGGTTGTTATTGATAGTGTGCAACTATTAAAGGGTGCAGCATGAAATCCTTGTGAATTTTTTTGGTGTTTATGGGTACAAAAAAAAATGTAGGGCCATTTTTGACGAATCATGATACAACAGAAATGATTTAATTTATATCAATGAGATGAATACTGATATTTCTAAAGATTATATTATTTTAGGCGTATCTCCTACATAACTGATTAAAATCTCTCATTGATATTATAAATGGACCTGAAATACAACAATAGTATATTGATTTGTAAGGTGTTTTTGTGTTAAAGAAATTTCCATTTGAAATGAGATCAACAACACAGCTGGAACACAAACAGCTTACATGCAGCTGCTAATTATAATGCGTTAAATAAAAAATCCGACATAATGTTGTACTAAATTTACTTTTATTACAGCGGATCCTCTGACCAGTGTTCCTCCATCAACACAACAGTAATTACAGAACAGAAAAAAAATAGTTCATTTATCCCTAGACTTTTGTTTTCTCTGATTCATGAATACTTTAATACAATTTCAAGCCATTTAATCTGTATTTTTAAACTTTTGTATAATCTTTTTAGACATTCAATAACATGATACACGATCTATACATTTTGATACAGGTTACATATGAGTTATAGTGGTGATGCTGAGCCAGACGACAATGTGTGCCTGCGAAACGTCAAACCAACCTACCGTTTCTCAAAACAATTCAGTATGTGGTAGGTTAGCATGGCACTTCAAGCACAGCAAATGAATACTGATGTTCTTTACAAGAAATGTAGCCCTTCCCCGTAGACCAGCCCCTTTCTATCGCTCCCCGTTTCATTTCTTTGTAATGTTGGCGATAGGAGTGTTCAGGTCTATCAAAACTGAAATAACCATCACTCTTTCATAGCCTGTCAACAGGAGAGGAGACAATGCAGTAGTGACCGGGCTTGGCAGCTGTGGGATGGCACAGTGTTTGACCAGAGGTTGAACCTCCATTATTTAGAAAATAGGTTTGCATTTCATTCTAGTATTTCTCATATATCAGTATTACTTACATATCCCCTAAATTCAGTCAGTAGGACAAGTTTAAAACTAGGATAAAGTCAAAAATAAAATGTGTAAATTAAATCGGTGGCGGGTATGACAAATAAAAACCACAATGCCAAACAAATGCAAACAGCCCTCAACCAAAATCTATTGAAAAATTATCATTTGTTGGTTAAAATTATCTAAACGACCTATGTGAGGGTATCTTTCCAAAGTATACTTCAGTTTTTATAAGTGCACGTTGGCCATGTAGTGTATACGCAACACAGATTTTTGTCATCAGAACAGTAAACAAGTTTGGAAGGCCACTGGGGGCAAAAAAAAAATCTTAAAATGAAACGTTTGCCAGCAAGCAGAACAGCCAATGAAATTGTATTTGAGACTATATTTGCATATGCAATGTACACAATTTTTAGACATTTCATGTTTATTCCTGAATAATGTTGTGATGGTATACTGGTGTTCATTCATGCGACCTAAGACGTTATATGGTCTTCCATAAAAAATGGCCACATTTATCTGTACATGTCTATGCACAATGAAACACATTTAAAAAATACAACTGTACTGACATAATGAAATTTCACACACTGGCATGGCTTGGTCAGTAAAGGGGGTTCCAGATGTTTCAAACTTAATGGGTGGGGTCTTTGGCTCCATTTGAACACCACTGTCCCCATTCCAATAAAGCTGAAAATGAACTAAAACTGAATGCATCTTACTAAGCATTCACTACATGAAATCCAAACTTTGACTGACAAATTGTGTGGCAAAACACCTTTAGAATCTTTTCCTGACAAAAGGACTAGGCAGGGCCTATTTAAATGCAAAAAAGCCTAGAATCAATTGCCCCCAAGGGAGTCAGAGCAATCGTCACCCTCAGAGTTATGGCACTGGGGGTAAAAACAAGAATCAACTGGCCTCAC